TAAAAGGAAGGGACCTTTTGCTCAGGACTGGAATTCAATGGTCAATGTCTGCTAGTGCCCAGTTAAACAGAGGCTTCGCAGCCAGATTATTTTATTAGTTTCTTTCAAAAAAAAAAATCAATTTTGGAGAGAATTAGATGATGCAAGTAGGCATACTTGCCTCTTCTATGGATATAAACCAACACATTCAGTAGCACATCGGAACACAACCTGTGACTGCAAGTACTGTACAATTTAGGAACTTCCAAAACTGTACTTGCAACTATTGGTTGTGTTCTAATGTCATGAACACAATCATTGGTTATGTTCCAATTATACTTAAAACCCTACAGGGCTGAAGAAGAAATTTTCAGCTCCTTATGCCCTGGACCTTTCTCACTACCAAGATGAAGCGTTATCCATCTCACCTTGAATCAACAAAACACTTTCTCAGCATGAATTCTGCTGGGCCCACTGTTAACCTATTTTCCTCCCAATCACTACCAGTTCCCTGGTCCCCCTCCACTGTTAGGTCATGGATTGCAAAGCCTAACAGATTTTGCAGACTTCCTGGCTGTAAAGTCCATGCTGCTTGGCAAGACCAAGGAAGCAAGGCCTACACAGACTTCAGGAAGGTATCTTTAATGCTGGTCTTAGGGTAAATGCAGAACTTCAGAAATTGAAAAGAGGAATTTCCAGCCTCAATTATAATGAACTTATTAAGGCGGAACCTCTGAATGAGTTTTTCCCCAAATTTTTTGACACCTGGGTTGAGATGCCAGTTTGGAGATGAGCTGCCAACAGATTTGTTTTCTGTCTCTTTCTTGTTTATACCTAGTTTTCCTTCCACACCTTTCCAGCCTTAAGACCAGAACAGCTCAGGATGACTTCAGCTGTCTCACTCATGGGCAAAGGCAACAGTGTGAGGACGCATCAGCAGAAATATGTCTCCAGGGCATGTTTGTACCATAGTTAGGAGCAAGTGAGGACAGACCCTCAGCCTGTCCATTTCCAGAGATCAACCAGGAAAAACAACCACCACCACCTTTCTGCCTGTTTCACTGATAACTAAAGGAGGATTGGGGGGAACAAGGGAAAGAGGGCCAGCTACACAGCATCCAAATTCTTGAACCATCAGCTCACCGGGGATGATGGGAATTGTATTTGGATAAACTTAGAGGTCATTAGGTTAATCAAGCTCTAAAGTACAGATGTGAAGGAGTGCCATCAGCTGCCCCAGGGTTCCTCCTGGCAATCATCTTGATTGATTGATTGATTTTTAATTCTCCTACCCTCTACTTCAGAGTTAACGCTGGCTTGCATTTGTACTGCTGGTGACAGGCCAGTAGGTCAGCTAAAATGTCCCATCTCTTCCACTTATTGTTTTTTTCAGTTTCCAGGGGTATTCCTGACTTTCAACTGCATCAAAGCAGACATTAAGCATCTTAAAAATTCTTACCTGTCTGGCTTGCTGTCCAGGGAAGCATAAAAAAGAAGTGGAAGAAGTGGAAGGAAAAAAATAAGACACATATGAGACACTAGCTGAGAGATTCTTGGTTATCCTTAAACCTACTAATAGCTCAGGAACCTTCCCAATTCCAAGCTGATGATCACTTTTGGAAGTTCAGCCTTCTAGGTGTGAGATTTTTCTGGTCTATATCAGCTGTCCCCAACGTGATGTCTTCTAGGTGTTTGGGGTTAGAGCTCTCTCCGGGCCCCACTCCCATAGCTACCATTCTTGGACAGCACCAGATTGGAAAAGTCAGAGTTTAGGGTTAGAGTTAGATTATTTTGCCCCATGAGACATAGACCTTCAATGAAAAATTCTGACTCTGCACAAAAACTATTGTTTTAAGAAGAAAAAGGAATAGCCCAGCCCAGCCCATGGGGGAGGATCCTCACAAACCAGAGAGATGGACACTCCCACTTACTTCTTGTACAGAAGGATTGCAATAACAATGCAGATAATAAAGACTACAGCTAAAACCGGTCCAATCACCCAGATCAGCCCCTCCTCGCCTTCAATCTTGGGCTGGGGATCAGAGCTGTCCATCTGGATTGGATCAGAGAAGGGACTGGCAGCATACACCTGAAACAGAAATCAAGCAGAGCAAGTATGTAAAGGAACGCACCCATAACAGTATTTCCCTTGGTCTTCTCATTGGGGAAAAGTAGATAAGGGGTAGAAAGCAAAAATGTGAAACAGACCGTTCAGTCTCAGGTAAGCAAACATGAGTGAAAACTCACATCAAAAACTGTAATCTGGCATTGTGGTTGGGACATAGAATAATTGATTTAAATTAGTCACTTAGGGATGTGCAAAATTCATTGACTGGGGAATAAGAGATTCCAAAATGCTCCAGAATGAATTCTCCATTCCTCCCCCAGGGGCAGTTTGAGAGTTTCTAAAGGAAATCCTTTGAATCAGAAACTTTTCAAGGTGTCCTGGGCATAAAGTTTCTGATACAACAAGCCTTTCCTGGGGCCAGTCTACCCCTGAACTGGTCAGCTTTGCACATCCTCGTTGGTTACTAAACTGACCATTTCTGAGTTTGCATATAACTTAACCAAACAGCTGGGTCTATGCAAAGTGCTAAGCCAAAACAAAAACAAAACAGAACTCCAGGGTTAATGTTAAATAAACTTAGCCTGCTGAGTAAATACAGCTTCTACATCTTTAATTGACCTGCCTGAATGGGTGGTGTGAACTGCATTCAAATTTAATCCAATAGCCTTTTATGGTCTCATTCTATTATTGCTGCTGTGGAGAAGGGGTATTTTTGATACACACAATTTTTATTATTGTACTTTATAGTGCTTATTACTTTTCTACATTGGGTTTTATGGATGTTGACTTTGGGTGGTTTATAAGAAATCATTGTAAGAAATCATATAATCTTATCCCTTTCCACTGCCCCTCAAAATATTTTGGATGTTTTATTCACAGCACAGTAAATAAATATAATTCAGACAAAAGCTATAAAAACACAGAAGAGAGTTCATCACAACATGAAGCCAGTTTGCTCCTGATCTCCAATAAAAGCACCAATGTTAACCTGTTCAGACCCTAAATGGGTCCCAAGTAGCTAAAAATTATTACAGAATCCTAAATTTCAAAGGTATTCTGGAAAGTCCACCCCTGCTCAGTAAAGAATCTTGCATCCCAAGAGATCCCCAATTAAGAGAGCTAGTGCAGACCATATAACATACAGCTCTTAGCCTAAGGAACTTCTCCTAAGATTCTGCTGAAAACTATTCCTCTGTAATTTCTACAGTGTGGTTTTCCAGCCCTGCGCAACTGTTTTTCATGTTCTGGCTTCCTACAGAGAGTAAGGATGATGACTTTGATGGATACATGCAAGAAGCATTACCTAGGCAAAAGGGGCTGAAACATCTCTTAAGTACTGAGAAATGAGATAATGTCTGGAAGCAGCCCAGGCTGATGCCTCCCAGATCCATTGGGGTATAAGAAGGGGCAGAAGGTACAGCACAATCCAACCTGCAAGTTTCTGTTATTGTAGCTATCTCAATAAAAGTAGTTCTAGCCTCCTGTGGAGTTCATTTCCTGGTATGGTCTACCTGGTGGGGCTGACACTTCATCAACTTCAGAATCACAAAGACAACAGTTACATTGTGTCTTCCCATAATCTCTGAAACTAAAAGTATGCATCTCTTGGAACCCTCAGAAGACTGGGTTTCCAGATCCCACCCCAGACTGGCTGCCCTCCTCTGGATCAATCTTCAGATCAGCCTCCACTGTCAGGGTTCTCCTTTTACTTCCTGGAAGGGCGGTCATCATGGAAAGAGTGCTTCTGAATGCTGCTCTGTGCTTTGGTCCCACTATGTGTGAAGCATGGTTATCTGCAGGGTGTGTGTGTTCACTCCCCCACCCTCCAATATGAAAAGCTCTGCCCCTAAGAGTTTGCCTGGGCCCACTGGGGAAATCCTTTCAGAGTGAATCCTTTTGATTCTCTAAGATCTTTGGCATATAATTGAACTTAGATCTCTAGAGGAACACCAGAGTCCTTCCATTTATTTCATCCAAAGAAACTAGAGATTGCACAATAAACTTGTTAACAAAACACAGAGCAACTTTCTTTAACCTCATTGGGACCCCAACTCCCAGAATTCCAATCTGACACCCTGAGAAGGCTATACTGATAGGGAATTCTGGGAGATGCAGTTGCAAAATAGATGCACAACACATACCAGAATTTCTTGGGCTCTGGCCCACCAGCCTTAAAAAATCACCCTTGCTGCCCTCTGCCTATGCTATCCAATATCTGAATTCCTGCAACAACCAAAGAGATCAGAAAAGCCTATTCCAAACATGAGCCAAATATATGTTTTGCATTCCAGGTCGGAGAAGCACATCTCTGGAACCCAAGGCCTGACTCGTAATATGCTTAAGCACTGTGATCCAGACAAATTTGGAGATGCGGAGGGGACTCACGGCTTCATTGGCCTGCAGAACGGCCAAAACGAAAATGACATATTTCTGCCCGGCTTCCAGGGCTTTGTTCTCGAAGTTGTCATAGCGCTTCATGTCCCCAAGGATGAAGTAAGGGGGCAGGCTGTGGAAACGGGCTGCAATGTACGCCTTGTGGGGATCCAACTGGCGGGAATGGCGGAGGCTGCGCCGCTGAAGTCTTGAGATCTGCTGAATTAGCTGGGGAAGGAGAGGAAGGACATCTAAGTCAGCTAAGCTGAACAAGAGAAGAATGAATAAAGATAAATAAATGTTTCTTTGACCCCGTTTAGAACGAAACTTCTGCAACCTGACACTTCCCACATCTGTTGGATTTGGTCCTCATCTTTTCAGCCAGCACAACTTCTCCTTTGCTTAAGATCATCGGCCACCTTTTCCATACCTGCTTATACCTTGATAATTCCAGGTTTAAGTTATTTTGTATAATTTATAAATACATGAGAGTGTTTTAGCATATATTAAAAGATAGAACTACACACACACACAGACACACACAGACACACACACACTGCATTCTACAGATATGGAAGCATGGAAGACACATACACATGTTCTACAGATAGGGGAATGCATAGAAGCTCTGCAGTGAACACAAGCTTGTGAAATTTGAGTGAGCAAACTGTAGTCCCTCCTGAAGAAATACTTTATATAAAAAATATGTACGCATATTTTCCAGTAGAAAGTAGCCTAACTCCTTTTATGATAGGAGGCATCCGGTAACCTGACATTTTTGGCAATATATCTGAGGATTCTGGGACAGAGTGTTGGATTAAGTTTGGATAATAACAGATTCTGTCCCTTATTCTGGTTCAGACTGGACAAATCACAGAAGGTCCTGGGAAAATGCTGAACTTGAGGACATGGATTCGAACACAGAATCACAGATATGGAAGGGCTCTGGAGTCCAACCTCTTGCTTAGAGTAGGAATCCGAATTAAAGCATCCAACTTTGCTCCAACACACCAAGAAAAGGAAGCCCGCTCCTTTGCGGGATCATGGGCTCCACTGTCAAACTCATCCTGCTATTAAGAATATTTTCCTAATTCAATTGGAATCTCCTTTCCAGTATCTTAAATCTATTATTCAGTGTCCTGCTTTTTGAGATGATCGAGAACAGACCTTGACTTTTGTCAGCCTTGCGGGGCAAGCCAGATAGGAATCACGATCAGATGAGCTAATTCTACTTTATTGTAAAGCTATATTGACAGAAACTTGCAAGTCTGAAAGTACATTTCTGCCTATCTCCTTTACAGCCTGAGAAACTGGAGGCGGGGTGGGTGGGGGGGCTCTTCTGAGCCTCTTACCCTGCCTACTATCCAGCTGTGGGATATACTGTCTCTCATCTGACCATTCCCTTGGCAGTATCTCTTTGCCCAGTTTCACAAGGTCTTTCCCACATACCATTACAACTTTCTTCTAAGTGACACCCCATGGGGTCTTGAAAAGTATCTTCAAGAATATTAGTTGTCCCAGGAGTAAGGAGTAAAGAAGATGACCTTAATGGAGATATGCAAGATCCGTTACCTAGGCAAAAGGGGCTGAGACTTTTTTTTTTTTAAGTCTACAGCAACAAGATAACATTTGGAAGTAGCTGAGGCAAATGCCTCTTTGATTCACTGGAGTATAAGAAAGCGGGTACAGCACAATCAGACTTGCAAGATTCTGTTATTGTAGCCCATCTTAATTAAAGTAGTTTTAGCCTTCCTGTGGAGTTGGTTTCCTGGATTGGTCTACTTGGTGGGGCTGACACACCCAATTCTGTATCATCTGCAAATCTGACAAGTATTCCCTTCATGTTCTCATCCATGCCACTAATAAAACATCGGAGTACAGTCCCAAATGTGAACCTTGGGGCCTATCTCTTGAAATCTCCCTTCAATCTGATGAAGAAGAGTTGATGAGTGCCCTTTAGCTGTGTTCCTGCACACTGAATGACAGTGAGATTGCGTGGTTGCATGTGCGAAGCTCTGTTCCAATAAAAGCTCTGTTCATTTTAACTCTGGTGAATTTTTGTGTGGCTTAGTGTGATGTGTGAACTCAGCCAGTTTGGTTAATTTTATGGTTCAGTATATTACACAAAGCAGATAATGGTTAATTCAGTAAGTAGGCCAAGCATGTTGCGCAAATGCAACTTTAGATGACTACTTTTGAGCCTGTTAGGCTTCCATTAACAGGTATGTTACCCAGCTCACATTGGATTAGCTAATCAGGAGGCTCTCTGTGGAGTCCATTGTCAGATGCTTTGCCCCAGTGAAGATATACAGCGTCTACAGCCTTCCCACAACCCACTAAGGAAGCTACAAGTTCAAAAAACAGAATAAAATGAATCTCATAAGACTTTTAATGACAAATCCCCACCTACCTCTTCTAAATCCATTTCTTCTGGACTACTGTATGGATTCTGGAACTGGCCACTTTTGGATTTCTTCAAGGGTACCGCCACAATGTAATATGCTCTAATAATCAAAGGAAGAAAGAGAGAAGAACAGGCTGGAGACTAGTTTAAAAGAGAGAGATACTGAAGGAGAAGAACTGATTTAGGTGGGAAGTGTGATTAAATGAGGTGAGACTCAAAACAGGAAACATTTATTGGGCTGTTTTACCAGTGGAGAAAAATAATTGTCCCCAAGCTCAAATGACTGTGGGACTTGGCTCACGAAGTTCCTACAGGTTATCTAGTGGATCCTAGATGGGTTTCCTCTGGCATTTTATTTCGGTAAGGAACATGTTTTAGATTGTTAAGGCATCAAAACTGCCCAGGTTGCAAAGATGTTTAGGTGCAGACACTAAATATGTCTAGCTGTTCCAAGTGATTGTTTCTCTGTACTGTAGTTGAATGGTTCATCGCTAATATGTTTTGATAGCTTCCCAAACCTCGAGCAGCTTCATATGGAAAGGCCAAATGCAAATGCTGAAAGAGAGAAATATAAACTGAATGGCCAGACTGAATATTGGGCCCCCAGCGTATACATACTGAACGGAGGAGTCTGAATTTCTGACATCTGGTAGATTCACCACTATGTTGCCGTCTATTTCATGCCGGTAAGACACCTCTGGTTTCCTGTTGAGCATATTGGCTGCGGTAGAAACCACCACTTTCTGCTGGAGATCTCCTTTGTCGCTTCTCTGGCCCAGGAGGGAGAATCGGTAAGATGTTTGTGGCTTCAGATTGGTGATAAGCTTCTTGGTGGCACTCCCACCCACCTCAATCTCTTGGCCGGTGTTCTCATGCCGGATCTAACAAGGTGAGAAGTGGAGGAAGAAGGCATGGAAGAAAGATAATTGGGCCCATGTAAGAAAGCCAGAAGAATTCTGCTGTATCAGACCAACATTACCCTTCATCTTGTTCCCCACAGTAACCAACCAGGTGCATCTGGGAACCACAGAAACAGGACATGGACACACTGGCATCTTTCCATTCATGTTCCACGGCAGCTAGCATTCACTGACATGTTTGGAAATTTAGAAATCATTTATGCCTATCATGCCTAGTGTTAGCCTCTGTGGATTTTTTCCAGCTGTCCAAATCCTTGGATATCACAATGTTATTGGAAGCAAATTCCATAATTTAGCTGAATGGATTTCAATTAAGCAGGAGCATAGAAGTAATTTCTGAAGTGATAAGCTGTCTGAAAATGATATAGATTATTTTGGAAGATGGTAGTTCTTTCTCTTGTTACAGGTTTTTGAGAAAAAGGTGTGCAAACATATCTTCTGCATTTTTTAAATTGAATAACCTTTGAAATATCTTTCAAAACAACAATAATAAATGTTACTTTTATATTCTGCTTCTCCTCTAAAAACATAAGGCAGCATACATGTTAGCATCTTCTGATACCCCAAATAACAGCCCTCTGAGGTAGGTTGGGCATAGCAGGAGTGACCATGTGGTGTAGAGGTCAAAGTGTTGGACCTAAATCAGGGGGACCCAGGTTCAGAGTTATTTAGTGAGATCTATGGTCAAGTGGAAGCCTAAACCTGGTCCCCCTGATTCAAGTCCAACACTTTGTCCACTACATCATACTGGATCCTGGGATAGTTTGCTGTTAGAGGTTATTTCTAGTGCCTAGGATAAATACACACTGCAACAATGTCAGTAATGCATCAAGGCTAGATTGCTATAAAGTGCCTTTTGAAGACATTCTAGAAATTGCAACTTGTTCAGAAGGCAGCAACATACATGGTTAAGTGGGTCTTCTCTCCCCATTGTTTGTATTAAAGCAGCTGTGGTGGTTACCAGTTGTCCAAGTGCAAATCAAGATACCCACTTTGGTGTACAAAGCTTTACTTCACATGGCTTAGCTCTTAATGACCTAGAGGCAATCTCAAATCTTCAATGGAGAGCCTTTTGCACGTCCATCTACAAATATGTTGAACCTCAACAATCATGGCTGGTGTGGGTCTTCCGGGCTGTGTGGCCGTGCTCTGGAAGTTTTGTTTCCTAACGTTTCGCCAGCATCTGTAACCCCACCACCACACACCCCCAATCCCCCCCCCTCAGATCTCTATAAATACCCACAACAGGGTCACCTCATCCTGGGCACAGAGAGAACTGCTCCTGTCCGTGCTCCTTCCCTCTGAAAATGCCAGTCACCGGG